GAGCATGGCAGCACCAGGGGGAGGAGGGCAAAGAGGAGGCTGGCTTTCAAAATGTGTCAGCTAGTAGTGCTGGAAGGAAAACACGTCTGAGAAGGAGATATGACAAGTGACGATAAAGCGTCACAGTGCCAGAGGTGGGAGGGAGAACTGTCGGACAGAAGACAAACTTTGTGTAGGGGAACAGGAGAATGTTTGCGCAGCCTTAAAAACTATGCTAGACAGGGAAATCCAAGTAAAATGGCTAAATTGTCATGTTGTGTGGGAAATCATCTTATACAGGACACACACAAACAAAATCATCTTCATCTCCTCTTCCTCCCTAAGCTGTTCTTCCATGCTGCCATTTATCCTGCGAAATTCATTCTCATTTGCACAGCCATGCAGCTATCTGCTCATAAGATTCAGTGGTGATGTAGTGGTATCACAGATGATGCCCTTTAATGAGGAGCCCCAAGAAGCCAGGGCAATTCCGGCACAGCCACAGCAGAGATCAGTTATCGTTTGTGGCTGAGACTGTACCGAAGGCTGTTTGCCTCAATGCTAGTACATACACACGTGTGCGCACAAGCGTGCGCGCACACACACGCACATGCGCGCACACACACACGGGGCCAGTGCTTCCTTTGGTTACTGGAGTTCAGTCCCTCTGGAGACTGGACAAGAGGACACATATGTGTCCGTAGAAAATGCACAAGTGTGTTTCCAGGTGTTGGTGTGAATTAGGGCTATTTGGCTGTCTGTCCCCCATTTATACATTTAACTATTTGAGAAGTGTTTGGAAGCTGAAAAAAGGGTTAACGGATGAGTTTGCAGATAGCTGTCTTTTCTCCCAGAGTGCAGCCTTGGCCTCTCCACGAAGAGCTTCAGCTGTTGGTTGTTTCCCAATATGTTCTGACACAGAAACACTTCATATCTAAAACGTACCTAAGTGAAGCTACAGTGTTTGTGGCAGAGGACTGGATGATGGAGGCCATGCTGCTTATTTGCTGCCTTCTAGATAGCATGTGTGCTGTCTTGCACGCATTTGCAGTCAAAAATATTGCTACGACAGAGTACACACACGCATATATCTATCTAGGTCCACAGGCCCACATCCCATTGAGGTGGACATAAAGATGAACATTAACTGGACTTTCAGTCAAGGCCTTACTATGCTTGCGCAGGCCAATTAGACCAACGACACTGGTCTTATTAATCGGCTTGTACAATTCTTGAAACTTGATTTGTGGATTGTAGACCAAAGTATAATAAATGTGTAAAACTAGCCTTCTACAAATCTAGCACGTAAACTTACATAAAGACGATCTTTTAGTATTAAATTGTGTGACTTGGACCTCTAAACCACAATGCAGTAAACAAAATTAGCAGGGAAGGCCATTGACTTGTCATTGGAAGAACTGGAAGAGAATCATAACGTTGTATGTTTAGGCAGAGATAGACCGTCGTCATCCTCACTGATGATACATGGTGGAGAACAATTCCTAGAGATAAAGAACCAAGCTGCGTTGTATTAGGCCCTGAAAAATGAAATATCAGACCGCCATGGGGGGGTCATGTCATCGGGGAAGTGCTTGTTCAGAAGAAACCTGAAGTGAAACAGAGCTAAGACGTTTTAAAGGCCAATTCAGAGAAGATGCTCTCTGTTTAAGTATCACCTTGGGCGCTCCCTGAAAGCACATCTGTGGTTGGAAAAAATGACTGAGACCAACTTTGCTGGCTGTATGCAAGAGTGAGAAGGGTCACTAGAATAGTGACTTAGGGTGGGCAGAGTTTGGGAGGAGGAGGAGGCATGGGCCTTCGTCAGTGCAGGCCCTGATCTGATTCAGTGTGACAAATTTCAGGCAATGCTTTTGAAACATTCCTCTCCAGCCTGTAGCGACTTCTGCTCTTCTTTCAGAGTTCTTTTTTCTGAGCACTAACCTCTGGTGTGCACCTGTGCTAAAACTCCAGGACAGATGCCTTATGTACTGCTGCCATCACACTGACCGCAGGGTGGGAGAAGGCTTGAAGTTAAGAGAATCTGAGCAAGGCAGGGACAAAATTTTCTGACTGCTATTTCTCGGTGGGATTTTCCCTGTCTTTGTTTAGTTGAAGAGAAATTACAGAATTCTGTAAAGAAGGGAATACTGCCTACCTTTGACCCACACAGAACGGTGCTTAGTGCTGGAGAACAGAGGAGCAGAAAGCTGATAAGAAATAATAATTTAAAACTCCATCTAAAGTATTGTGTAGCTATGTCAGCCACTTGTTTGTGTTTTTCAAGGACCTTTGTTCCCAGACCAGCTGCTGAAAGCTATTCACCTGACTTTTTCTGTTATTTTCAGTCTCAATCAATTAGTGGTTTAAAGCTGAGGCTTGCTTAAAATAGTTGGCCAGATCCTAAGCTGGGGGTCAATTCCTTTGACCTTAACTGACCCTCTCTGATCAGTATGGCCCACAAACGACATGTTTTGTAAAGACAGAGATCCCTTCTGCTGCACAGTAAGACAACACATGGTGCAGGTGTATGGGACCTGTCAGACAGCAAGTTCACATTCCCATCGTGAGAGAGACCTCATTCATCACTAGTGGTTTTTTGTTTTTGTTTTTGTTTTTTTACAAATCATTTTATTTCGTGTGGTTTTATCAAGCACACCGCCATTCCTGCAGGCTGCTAAGTCTGAAGAGGACATTCTCTTTCCAGCGCCCTTCACTGAATCAGGAAGGTGGTTCCAGACTTGAACCTCAGGACTGTTTTAGTTGCAGAGCTGAGTTTGTTTCTAAATCATCACATTCACTCTTTTTTAGGAGGAGCTTCACAGACGCAGTGGGCTGGATTCAGTCCTGCTGTGACAAAGAGGGTCCAGTCTAGAGAAATCTGCCAGCTGGAGAAATTCACCTTCACTAGTACCCAGATGTATTCAGTATTTTGTATTAGTTGTGCTGGTAGAAGGTGACATGCCTTAGAGCTCAATGCAGACCTGTATAGAGCTACTTCAGGTTGCTACCACATTAGTGAGAGCGCAGAGCAACCTAGCACAGCGTAAACTGGCAGAAATGTCCCCTGCCTGTGTCCATTACGTGAGGAAATCATTGATAGTATTCTTATTTCTCCCAGCGCTTTGTAGATTATAAAAACATAGTCCAACTGTGCATATGTACCATTGAAACATCATAGTGCTTTCACAGTTCTGAGCAGAGTAGACATACATGATGTAGTTTGGATAGAAAACGATCATGTCTTTCGTACGCTTTATGTATATCTATCAGGCTTGGAAATCCAGTTTCTCAAAGTGTTTACAGGACTTCTGCCACGGGAATGTTCTAGTTAATGAATAACCGCTCAAAATGTCTTTTGCTATCATGTGATTTTCCTCTTTGAAGTTATGCGTGATCTTGGCTCCTGCTTAATTGGATATAGCTTTAAAGACCTGCAGGGGCCTCTCTGAAAAAGCAGTTCGGCTGATTAAATCTAATGACAGGCCAGACCTGGAAACCTGTACGTTTCGCTTTCTTCCTGCAGTTGTGGGGAAGCCAAGCTCTGGATCTGGATTCTGAATGTAAGGGGGTGGGTTGGTTGGTTGGTTCTTCCTTCCCCCTGAATCCCTATTCCCAAGAATAAAGAAAACCACGAGACAGCACTTCTTCATCTGTGCATGTCTGGATTTTGGAGGTAGTGAGATTTAGGGGGAGAACTTGGGTCTGGATTGCAGCATGAGACATGAGGTCTTTCTTTTATTTCTTTCTCCATGAAGGTGTTCTTGCTTAGTTGTTTTAGTGGAAATATACTTTAAAACAGCATGTGAAATTATTTCTGTGATACTGGTCATGTTGTAGTTTAGTAATTGGTCTTCATAAACTTGGCTGTCTTTTCTTTGCTTCTCTCTAAAGGAGATGCTAGTAGTTACTGGGCATAGCTGATGGTGCTCTGCCTTAGTCTGTCTCTGCCAACCACTCTGGTAACTGTATGTTTGCAACCACAATTCATCGTAGCTTTGCCTTTGTTTCTTAATAGGCAAGGTCTTAGTCTTTATAAACCACTAATCTGTAATATTGCTAAAGCAGTCAGTTATGATGCGATCGAGGATAAGAATATGTGAAAGTAACAATGAAAACAGGTGAACCTCAAAGGGCAATGATCTTGGCTTTTGTTCTAAAAGGTCCCTGCTGTAAACGGTGAAAAACCCAAGGAACAGACAACAGAAAAACGATGAACAAGGTAAAAGTTATGACAAAAAGATGTGGGTGCAGAGTTGTCATTTCCCCCCACTTCTGCCCCAGGCAATAAAGTATTTTTTTTTCATGAGGCATCAGCGGGTCTGTAACTTCAAGTCAATATTGATGTAGAGCTTTATCATGACTAATTCCTTTCATGGCCAAGGATTACCTGGCGCAGTGTTCTGGATTTGTTAAGTGAGAGA